CCGAACGGGGGTGAAACTGCTTACCACTTTATTCGGTCGGTCTCGAACCTCGGATCTTAGATCCCAAAGCATGCCAATGACAGCGAGTTTCATCGCTTGATCACCTCCAACTGGTAGTTGGGTAGTTCAAGTCGCTGTTACTGGCCGGTAATCTTTCGTAACAGTCTGATAGCCGTCACCATGCAGCGCCACCGTTTCGTGATACTACATTCATGCCCTCCAGGGCCTCCTAACTCCCCACTCGAGTTCCCATGCAGGTGTTAGTGTGCAACAAGTAATTATGACTAAAGGTTATACCCTTTCTTCTGTGGCCACAAGTAGATAGATGAACTAATAGACAATTATCAGAGAAAACCGGAAAGCTTTATTGTAAAAAGCGAGTGAACAAACTAACCAACCAAACCTAAAACATCATGGGGATGGATTAGTAGATGTTTTCGCGGACGGTAGCAACACAACTAGATACAGAAATTTCGAAAAATGCTTTGCGTCTGCTCCACATCCAGGTTTGGGTCCGTTTATTTACCGTGCTGGCCTCCGGAAGCAGAAATGAGTCTCTGCTCCAAGTTTGCTTCTGATCATCGTGCCTGGGAAGGTGCCATCCAATACCTCCACGAAGGTGGCTTAGTCTTTCTAAGGAACTGGCAGCAGAAATGGACATTGGCTAGTTTAACTCCAAGACAGTATGTAGAAGACGCGTATTCTGTATGACCAGGTCACATCCGAGCAGACCAAGGTTACGAATTCGGGTTTGTTCATGTATCACNTATCACATTGAACTGTACCGTCGTATTACACTCCTCATTCATGGCGATGGGTTAAAACGTTTATTCCAAGAATTCATAATATTTTTGATAGATCGGAATTGAACTACCTCAAAGTTTTGGTCATGTTTGGTTATAGTATAGGATAAATTTTTACACAACGCAAAGGTTTGATACATTTTTATTCCTGAGAGTTTACGTACAATTCCTCTTTTGAGTATTCCAGATCTAATCTTTTATGATTATTGCATTCTAGCGTTGTTGGTTATACCCTCTTCATAACGAGATTTAGTTTCGGTTCCTAAAACTAGCACGTTTCTGAGAGTTGGATTTGATTGCAGTCTTTGGTTGACCCAATTTGGTTAACCGATAAGGGAACCCCAAAAAAGAATAAAGCAAATGATGAAAACAATATAAAGAAGATTGCAGATAAATTAGGTGTTCGAAGAAAGTGAACAGCTTTACGAGCACCACTGTTTACGACAGTCATTGTTTTAACACGGAGTAGAGTGGTTACGAGGTCCTTGAACCACGAAACCTGGCTCGACCTACTTAAACAATCCATCCTATCCAGATTTTCATTTTCGCGTACCAGTTCGTAGTCTGGCTACCGTTCGATTTCATCCATCCACAACCTGCATTAAAGAACCTCATGCGCTGAGGGAGACTACCTAAGAATATGCATAACACGTCCCAGCCACCGCGTTCTACGTAATTAAACGATTAGATTAGTACATGAACATGACCGCCTAATACTATATGTCCAACCTCACCATTGCTTGTCCGGTTGTTCTGTAGTAATGGTGTTGATTGTACGAAGAAAACGGGCTATCTACGGTAGTATTTCTTGTTTATGTTTTCACTATAACTTTATCTGTGGTACCAGTTTTAATTTTACCTTGTTGCATGTTTTTTTGTGAGCACAAATTTCCGCCCGACAGTATATCAGCTGGGTTCTGTTCCACCCCACGCAACGTATGTGACAACCTTTAGTTTCCGCTTTTTAGTAATCACCGCTGAAGCATAACAATCAAGTTCCACGATACGCCAATATACGTCCTCCGACAACCATCAGTGTTTTTGTCTTTTTGGGCATTGGTTCACTAAAGGGTCACTTGTTTTACACGATCTTTACGGAAATCAATCCGTACGCCGCTCGTTCATTAGCTTCAATCCCATTTGCAGTGCAGCGTAGATAGTGGTGGTCAAACAGTGATAGTTTTATTTATTTTAAGGATATCCAAATGTCACAGCGGTGCCGTGTCTCGAATCGTCAGAACAACCAGACATTCGGTATACTTAACGGCACTCAATACGTGATCTGTCCAACAGGAGAGATAAAGCTGCACGAACCGTGAAATCCGTCTATTCCTTCTGTTGCTTCCCCGGTCAGAGTGAAAGTGGGAGCTGAACGAAACCAATTTTAAGGTACGAGATACATGCTATGCATAGCTACACTAACTCGCAAACCATTGAGAAAAACCCACTACTTAAACAAGTACCTCACAAACACCGACTTCCGATGTTTCTATAAGAACGAGTGGCAACGACCATGAAATCGGTCGAACTTTCCCACAGTATTTTGGTCTCCGGTCGTTAAGTTCCAAATATAGCGCAATGTTTCTCCTCACGAACAAGATACCATTAGGTGATTTTTAATTTCGATGGTCAGTTTTTGTAAGGCATTTGATCATAAAATCTCGTTCATCTGAATTCATTGGTGACTTTGTGTGTGGCACATATCTGAAACATCAAGACTGAGTGTTTGGAAGCGGAATTATACATGATTGTTAGAAATCTGCCTCCGGTGCCTAAATGGGAACCTCAAAATTTCGTCCCATTGCATGTACGTCTGTTGTGTTGAAGCTGCTCAAGAAGTTACTCATTCAAGGAATGTTATTTCCGCTGAGTGTACAGTGCCCTAACCAATTTGCGTACAGCCACTCTCGCTCCACACTAGATGCACTTGCTTCTCTGGTCCATTATATTCTGTTAGCACTTGATGGAAATAAGAAAGTTATCGGAATATGTTTCTTGGACCAAAGTGACGCCCTCAACTATGTTGACCGGTCTAAATAGGTAAATATTTTGTCTTTCAGTGGAAAGTCACATGCCGTAACTGCGGTACTCATAGACTATTTCACAATCGATCACAGTTCACACGTTACCTTGGTGGTTCCTCCTATCCCTTGATTTCTACTAGGTGTATTACAGAGTGCCAATCTGTCCCCGTTTTTCCTTTCCACATATTTCATCCACACCCACCTTTCAGAATTCCCTGCCTATTAAATGTGTTGTAGACGAAATCACCCATGATGATGTATCTGTCACCAGCATTCGACTATGCTTTTCTAACTTTGCTCTGTGGTCCACTGCACATAACTTTATCCTCAATCCCTCTGAATGCGTTGATATATTCTCACCTCTCAAAGGGAACCGTTATGCAAGTCTCTTAGAGTCCTGTTCCACGATAAATATACGTGAAGATACCATTGTCTAACCCGTAAATGTTAGGTACCTCGGTGTGTTGATCACCAGAAAGTTATGCTGGTCTAAACAAATTATTTGTATATTTGGAAAGGATGTTCGCTTTGTTTCAAATCGTGAAATATTCCCAGTGACGCATAAGAACAAAGAACTTGAAATTATCATTTTATGTCCCTCGTTTCGTGATTCACCGTTTTCTTTTGCTTGCATTTTGCCCCCTTGGCTGTTCGGGACACGCCTGTAGTCCTCCCGCGGATGTTTAAGAAGAACATCAAGTTGCTTTCCATATTCTTAGCACATTTATCTAGAAGTAGCGGGATTTCCTGTGAAGTTCTCTGTCACTTCATCGTTTCAATACATACCGATTCATGTCTTCGTTATCCACAAAAAATATGAGGGACCCTTCGCATGAGAATCAGATCTTCGAACTGGACAACGCTAGAATAATTCGAAGAGGAACCACAAAGTCATTGCGGGAATTCCTCGAAGCATGGCACTCCAGGAGGGACTGCATAAACAAACATAGAACTGGAACCCGTCTATCATTACGGGTGACCCAAAGCTGTCTCAGCTAAAACCGATCCAGAATCAGTTTGAAACCGGTTTACAGTTGGTCAAAGAAAGCCAATCGACCAATAAGGAAAGAGGGGACGCCACCATGACAACGACGCAGCCAATCCAATCACAGAAAATGGTCACAACTGACCAATAGGATAGGGGCGCAAATGGACAATCAAAACCCTCGAACAGAACTATATAAGCGCGGTCACACTGAGGACTGGCGCTTCCCTGTTGTTGCACTGATAATGTTGTCTAGCCTGGCTACGAAACGTCTGCGAACAACACTTCCAGCTCAGAGAACATCCACATCCCGAGCTACAATCGTTCCACATTATTTCTTTTGCAGTTGTTACACGCAGATCTTATAAAACGCCTGTCAGCTTCCATCCGGTCCCGTTATAACTGTACATTTTTACGCACAACCGCCTATCGGTTTTCTGTGGTGCATTATTTCGCCAGATTTCTTGCCAACCCGGATCGCTTTGCTTCTGAACTAAATCCACTAGTAAATTGTTTTGTTTTCCACATTTCTGATACAATTTTGTTTGCTTATTGGTTCTACTTTGACTATGTGGCCACTGAATATTCACCTCTCGGGGTGGACAGAGCGTATACTTGACTTGAAGCTGCTGTTATGGAACAAAAAAGAACATGATGTTCAGTTGTTTGCCGAGCTGGGCAATTGTATTGCAAACTTTTCATCATCAATCTAGGTGACATTCTCAATGCAGTGAGTGGAAATGTAACTTGAGAATGTAACCTCTATTGGTGATGAAACGTTTGCAATACAATCGACAAACTCGGCGAACAACTGAACATCAAGTTATACTACCCGAGCTACAAAAACAACAATCAACGCCGTTGTTTGCAAAACTCGTAAAAAGAAACATATATATGTATATTTTCCGGATCAAATCACGATCATCCAGTGCGATCTATTCGTCTGTTGCAATCATCGCTTGTATCAGTCGTGATGGATTTGACCGATGTGTGACTGTACATATCTGACGAGTGGAAACAATAAATCGGTCAGAACAGGATGAAGAAAATAACTGGATTATGGGAGGAAAATTGTGCACGATTCACATGCAGTATGAACAAGTTTCTTTTGCTGTTGTTGTATGAGTTCATGTGCATCTATGCGTGTGGCGGTGATTAAATAGAATGCTCGAATGACTATTGTTTCGGTCAGCAAAGAGTGTCCAGTTGTTGCTTCAGGTAAGAACACTGATCCAACGGACTGGGACTACCGGTACGGCCCAACCCGATTGATGGCACTACCAGATAGACCACAGTAGCATCTGCAAAGGGGAGCGAGAGAAAGTGTGAACTAGAGCAAAATACTGCCTCCGGATCACAGACAACTGAAACACAATTACACTGATTGCGGATAGAATGCATTATCGCTCACTGTTGTCGTGTATGACTCAGGCGTTTCCATCGCGATGTTTCGAAAGGATAATATCCCATCTGTTCAAGTACTCTGCAGTCATGTAATCACCCCTCTTTCGCTAAACAATTCAGACCTTATTTGTTTATCACAGTTTGAACTATTCTGTATCGTCTCGACATGAAAAAATGACTGCCTACATTAACAGGACAGCGACTCAACTATTAAGTGGCACAAGACCCCAATGTGCGATCTTGTGACATCGAGAAGAGTTTCGGAAATAAAATCTAGACAGTGCATTTTTCATTTTACTTCCTTTTTATTGAATAAACAAAGATACAATTTTCGGGAAGAAAGAAACTGCCATTCAACACAATGGGAAATCAGGCGGTGGTGGTGGGATTCGAACACGCATCCCTGGGGTGATAATATGGCGACGTTACCACCGCTCAGCTGGTTTGAACCATGTTATATGGACCTCTGGGTGAAGTGATGTAACTTTTCGTGGGCATGTGACCCACAAACCATAGGCACGATAGTCTATAGAGATATCCGCCTCATCTGGAAGAACGTATCGCACTCTCCACACAGTTCGACGGAATGCGACACCAATAATCTTCCCGAAGAAGTTATATTGATCGGTTGATGAATCACTGGGAGCCAGCTTACTTCGCCCACAGTTTTTTATCACATCAATTAAGGGATCAGTGCGATGGATTGCTATCGCAACGAGTGGAACGCAAGGTGGTAGTTTTGTGATGCAGTCTTTGGAATCTAGCGGAGAGATTCACCAAGGCTCCATTGATATTTTAAGTAATATGTGGTTATGTGTATGAAAAAGCCAAATCTTGTTTCGTTCACCGAACCAATGCAGTAAATGAAAATGCTTTTTGAGGCCCGATTCAAATGCTTATCTTGATCGTACATGGTTTTAACGTGACTTCTGTTTATTTGTCACGGGTCTTGTTTATGGCGGATGGATTACTTCCTGCTGTTTTGCAGTTCGCACTTGGTTGCGAAAAGGCTAAAAGTGTACCCTCAAAGTAAAAAACGACCACTGACGCTGGGGACGTCTCTCGTACCAAACTCTCAAGTAACTACATAATCATGTCTTCTACAAGCTTCGCTACCCATGCTACGGCGCCCCGGCAAGCAATGCGCTCCATGCTCCTCCAGTGGTCGGGGTGTCAAGAATGCAAACTGGANCTGGAACGTGAGAAGCTTCTTGGATGTTGGGGGTCAAGCAGTGACTGTGAGCACGCTACACGACTATCGCGCAGATGTTGCCTGTTTATCCGAAATACGATTAGCCGGCTCGGGCTCCCGTAGCATCATGGTTTCCGGCTATGATAGCCAATATTATTTTTTACCATGTCGGCTCAGAAGTTTCAGGTCAGCAGGGAGTGGCGTTAGCACTGAGCCAACGCTGTCCTACTCTCTTATGAACCAATATCGTCAAGGATCGTTTCAAAGGTAATCTTACCAACCTTAGAGTGGTCTACGCCCCCACTCTACCATCCGACAGCGTAGTGAAGGACGAGTTTTACGACAGTCTTCAGGAAGTAGTAAATCGCGCCCCCAAGAGAGACGTACTTATCGTGGTGGGAGACTGGAATGGTCGTACGGATAGGCAAGGATTTTCACCATAACATAATTCAGAAAGTTGGACTAGGCCATCGCCGTGCAAACGGTGTCAGGCTGATTAATTTCTCCGATTATAACCAACACGCCTCCAGCAACCCAGGAAGCATCTTACCTGGTACTCTAATGACGGCATAATAGCCCACCAAATCGACTATATACTGATACGGTCACGCAGGATCTCATCAGTAGAAGATGGTAGATCGTATCGCGGTGCCGCAGTTGGTAACATAGGTGGTTCTGATCCCATGCTCGTTCGTGCCAAGCTTCGCCTTCGGTTGGCTACTCGTGTTAAGACCACGAGTTGCAGTACAACAAGCAGCAACTAAACACACTAGGTACCACGAAGAGCTGTTACAAAGATCGTATATCAGAAGAAACCATCTGTCTCTCAACCCTGGCCAGGGAGGCCTGTCTAGCTATCCACCACGATTACCAGCGACTCAGACGAAATTATTAGAGCGAAATAGCGATTAGGATGGGAACCGCGGCCAATGCATGCCACTTCGGAGACCTCTTTCTCCTCANCATGATCAGCGTCCGGTAGAAGGCAATCCCTACTATCCGTTCTGCGCGACTCCACCGGTGGACTGATCTCCGACATCGACTGTAGAACATTTTAATCAATTTCCGAGTCATCCGCTGCGCAGACCGGTAGATATTCACCTCAACTCAGCGTCCCCATGCGAGGTCGACTGTGATCCTTCATCCGTAGAAGAAATAGCTGCGGTGAACAGTCGCTTGAAGTCTGGCAAGGTTCCTGGAGAAGACGAAATCTCTGCAGAAATATATGTAACAATGCCTTCGGGTGGTCATCCAGCCGCTTCACTCTCTCTTATGCTTCCACTTGGGAAACCGAAACATGTCCAACTGAGTGGAACACCTCAGTTTTGCTCTTGTACCTCAGGAAGGGCGATAAGACACTATGCGAGAATTATCGGGGCATCAGTCTGCTAGATGTGGCTGAAAAAGCGTTTGCCCAGCTTGTCCTTAATCGATTTGCCACAGTGGGGCATGCACGTTGTCGGCCAAATCAAGGAAGCTTCCAACTTGGCAAAGGATGTGTCGATCAGGTTTTCATCCTAAGGCGAATTCTGGAACACCGATAGAAGTTTCAGCACCCCACCGCAACATGGTTCATTGAATTTCGCGCCGCACTCGATTCAACGGACCGCGAGTCATTGTGGAGGATGATGCTTGCGGATGGCGTCCCTGCGAAGTTGGTTAGTATATGGAGATCGCATTACAACCAAATCAAAGCCCGTATCCGTGCCTAGGGCGAAGAGTTTCATCCCTTCGATCATAGGTTAGGAGTAAGACAGGGATGCCCGCTATCACCAGTGTTGTTCAACTTCGCTGTTGATTGAATTCTGCGTCGGGCAATGGAGGGTTACCAAGGTATCAAAGTTTCCGCGAATTGCTGGATTACTGACCTCAAATTCGCCGATGACGTGTTAGTGCTTGCAGATGACCTGACCACCTTGTAAACAACTCTCAACCGTAGCAAAAGCTTTGCCTCTGAGGTCGGCCTTGGGACTAATCCTAACAAAACTAAGATGTTGACTACTCCACCTGATCAAACGGAACATACCCTGAAACTGGGTGGTCGGAAAAGACAAACTGTATCGGATCTCAGGTACCTTGGGTCCACTATNGAGATGATGTAAAGCGGCGCATCGATACAGTCCGAACGGCGTTTCTGCAGCTACGAACCACCCTATGGCGCCGGAACGACATCAGTTTCAAAACCAGGGTGTTTGCCACAGCGGTCTGATCAGTCCTACTATTGGGCTGCGAAACCTGGTCGCTGCGGACATCAGACGATAGGAGGTCTTCGATCACTGGTGTCTTAGATTCATCCTGAAAGTAAACCGGCGGGACGGAGTCTCAAACTCTGCCCTCAGAAATCGCTGCCACGTTGTCAGTCTTTCACCGCCGCCGACTACAAAGGTTAGACCATGTCCTCCGCAGAACCGACGACACATTTACAAGTATTGTCCTGGTTGGCGCCGCCGACAAGGGGGGGGGCAAGTAAAAACCTGTCTGGACGCTGTATTCGAAGATGTCGACCAACCTGGCCTACGGATGGTGTATGGCACCCGCTGATAGAAAACCAACTGGATCGACATTTGCACGGATCTCGCAGCCAACCGCCAAGCATGGGCGGCGGCAATCAGAGGAATTCATGGAGCTGGCTTTTCCTTTCCGAGGAGCCAGCCGCAGTAAAGTAAAGTGAAGTTGATGACGGAGCAGTTTTATGCACAACTATTGGTTCCTACATACCAATAACTTGGTGATATCGCCAGTGTACGGGCCAGCAATGCTTGGGTAATGTTTCTGCGATTAGCAAGAAGGCAGGGAAGACGCCAAAATACAAATTACTACAGAACCATAGAAGGCTGTGGCAGATTAGGGCGTGGTGATGTGGAGGTGACAAGTAATATTCAACACTCAGGGATATGAGACTGGGTGGGTTTTGGATTATACAATATATATATATATATAATGTGATGCACTAAATCATTTTCTTTATGATCACATTGATTTTCATTATATTCATCATCTATATTATTAATTTAGCTCTTGATAATAATTTATATCTTGTCTACTTCGATCTACGAAGTTTCTATTCTGTATGATTGTCAATTAAACGTGCCTGACCTTGGTTGCCAAGATTAACTAATCTCAACATGAAAATCGCGAACTTTATCAAGTATCAAAACGCAATATTTTCTAATAGGAATGACTTAAGAATTGTCACAAATTATTTCCACAAACCCTTGCCATCTCGGTTGTTTGCCATGAGGCATTTTTTTATCCGACATACAATCCATTATAGCAATTCTATTGGATAACCAAATGAAATTCTTTTACAACCCGGAGGAATTGCATAAAATAGGGTTTCATAATAATAATCTGTTTGATAGCTAACTCACTGAATTTGAGTAATACCACTTCAAACAAAGCCAACTTTGAAATCAAGGTCATTTTTGTGTACAGCTTTGAATGTTCGTATTTTTATCACCAGAATGAAGCAAGCAGCGCTCGCTATCTCAGTGAAGAGGACAGAAATAGAATTGCACGGGCACATAAGTTGGGATTTTCTAAATCAAATCTTGCCCAATGCATGGAAAAACAACAGCCAGAACAGCTTGTGGAGGCCGTAAACCGAGTACATCTAAACAGGAGGATGACCTGATTCGTATTACTCTGAAAAAACATTGCAGAAAATCGTTGTCGTCCATCCAACGGGAAGGTCTTTCCCGCCATTCATACTCCCTTCTGCAAAGAAGAATGAAAACATTTGAGATGCGTCAGGTTTCAGCTGACGTCAAACCAGCATTGAGCGCACAGCAAAGGCAGGCGCGTATTGATTTTGCCCGATAATTCAAGTCCCGACGTGCGTCATTTTGGCGATCGGTTTATTTCGCCGACCAGTGCATGGTGTGCGACGAGCCTTAAAGAGTCAAAAAAGTCATTTGGGGTGAAAAATTCCCAAAAGGGCTTATTCTAACAAATAGAGTTTCTCAGCCGTCGAGATTTCTCACCTGGCAGGGATAAAACATGGTCAGCGTTATCGGTGAACATCATTCAAAAGCACCATGAGCAGTGGGAAATTTGTATCGGCAGTGACGAAAATGTTTCCAGAATTTCATGGAAAAGAATGTGCTCTTTTATAAATGCTGTTGCCAATACGAACCCACAAATGTTTCACAGGAACCCGTTGCTTTAGTTTCAATTAGACCTATATATATTATCGCTAAATACTGAGTCTAGTAACGAACTTTACTGTTGATTACGACTTAATGAAGAATTGTTTCGGTGAATGCTCTCATTGCAGTGCACACGTCGAGGGCTTCCGCTCGCGGTAAAACTCTTTTTGGGATGTCNNNNGTAAGGGGGGGTGGGGGGTGGGGGGTCGGTAAAACCCGTTAGCGTTCGGCATACATGCTTTACAAAGGCAATAAGTATCAATGCTACCAAATGCAATCGAACGGGCATCACTATTCGAAGTTTACACTTAGTCGTATCCAAGTGCGAGCGAGCAGTCCGGAATAACGTTGAGCTATAACAAATGATGAAGCTACTGGGTCGAATGACTCTTCGGTATTCTTGACAAATGATGAAGGGTCAGTCTAAGTGCTAAAACTATTGAAGCTCATTTATTACGCAGGGGAGAGGGAGGAGCTATTCAGAGTGGCTGGGATAGATTATCGTGCCAATCAGCAGCACACGAGTTTTGTATGCCTGAAACTTGGACTGGTTCTTATGTCCCATCGAGGCTGACAACCGAGTGAGTTCTTTTCGCCACATCTATTGTATGAAAAACGCGCTTTGGACGAAATCAATCATACTGTTCTTGAGTAATAGTTCTTCGTAAATTTCCCGGAAGGAGAAAAATGTTGCGCTCTAGGCTGTTGCAGATTGCCACTGAGCTATGGTTACGCGAATTGGACTGAAGATCAACCCGATTGTCACTTGTCCGTTCAGTTCAGCAACATGTGACAGTTATGCGGCTATTGATGTAGTGGTGTTTACGTATGGTTAGAGACATTGAATGGTATGGCTTCGTGTCGTAAGCAGTGGCCATTGTGCATCTTCTCAGCTTGTTTGCAATATCAGTCCACTGCAATTCTCCATTTTCTCTTCGACTCTACTTTCAACTTTCCTGTCTTCCTCTTACTGCTTCATCCAAATGGGCAACCAAAAGACAGCAACCATAACCGCCGCACGGAAGTGCATGGTTAATGGTTGTACAAACCGAACTGTTGATGTACAGAAAGCTGATGGGATAAGCAGGGATCGCTCAGATGGTTAAAATGTTGGATTGCCAAACCCGGAGCCCGGGTTACAATCCTAGTATGTTTGATAGCTATTCACTGCTGAGCATTGACTGGTAACGGGCGAATGAAAGAGTTATCCGGTGCTTCCAGGTTTTTTCAGTAGTGAGCGAGACACTGCCCATTTGGGGTGAATTATTATTTGACAAACAAACAAATGTCCAAAACCGTCTCAGGAAAAGTGATTACCGATCCGGTCGCATCAACCTACCTGAATCTGCGTTCTCCGATCGAGTAAAGTATTGCGTCACGTACAGACTGAACACGCCCAGGACGCAATCAATTGTCAGTAATCGTCTTCAACATATGAAATAAAGGAAGGTAGAGGGATGCGCGAATGATGAGTTTTGCACGGGAGGGGGGGGAGCAAGAATTATGGACAGTGGATCACCATTGACCTTGTAAACAGAATCCAATAAAGAATTCGGGGATCGCGGTAAAAAAAATTGGTAGTTCGTATGTATTTGGGTTTAATTTTACCATCCGATGCAAACAATGCTATTTCCTATTTATTACTTCAGAGCCAGCGTTACACTCTTTGTCAAATGTATCTTTCGATGCTGGAATCTTTGCATTAGTAATAAAACAAGTGATCAAATTCAATACAACTTGGCCTCAGTGGATTTTTGCTCACCCATGTGAATACTTACCGATCTGAGTCAGAAATATGCCTACTATGGTACAAATCGACCAATTTGAATAATCGAACTGCCAAGGATTCCGGCACTGGATCTGTTCCACCTAATTCGCCCAATTCTGATAGTTCCCGTAATAAGGTGTCCATCTGGTCGACCAACATCGATGTGAACTCCGTTGGATCTGTGGGCGCAGTTGAACATGTGCTGCCTTGGTGACTGTAATTACTATTGCTCCCGCTGTAGTAATGGTTCATACTGGAAGCGAGGAGGTCCAAAGCGCGTTGCAATCGTTCGCTTAATTCCCGAGCTGTTCGTTGAGGGGAACATGCACGGTACAGTTGTTCAGCAACAGTGTGTGTGGCTTGAAGAAAGCTTGCTAATTTGAACAAAAGGGTCACACAGCCACGTTGAATTGATGTGCCGTCCCGATCGAAAGCAAGCTATATTCGATTGAAAGAAGGAGAGGTATATGCAGAGCAACCAGTGATGAAGAAATGAAATAATAATTAATGAAGATCTGATTTAATAACGGTGTGCAATTAGGTGTCGAAACTGAAATGCAGTAACTAGAGGAAGTAGGAACTCAACATGACAGGATTGAGAACACAAATGCTCATTCACCACCGCGATCACCGGTAGTCGCATGAGTGAAAACAGCATCAACTGGTGTCGTCATTCGTCGTTTTCACCAATGTGTTGATCACGAAACCAAATATCACTCTGGTTGATAGCTGAGAAGTTCTTTGTGTTAGTGGAGGTTCAGTAGTTGAAACCGTTGTTACTCGTTTACTTCTGCTCCGAAAGTCGAGATTCGAATCCTGACATCCCCGCAGAAATTTGGTGATGGGCAGCTAATCTACCGTCCGCCCCTCCTATTGGGGTCGTTTTTGATTCTTAAGTCCCATATGTTGGGTTTCCGGTTGATAATACTAAACAATAAGTCCTGCTGTCTGTAAGCCTGAAATAAAAACAAAACAACTTAAGGACCACATCCTTCACTGCTCTCGTGCAACAAGTATTGAGGTTCGGAGTTTTTCGATTGACTCATAACGCTGGAGGCTTTTACTGAGATATGGGACATTAGTTGCTTGCAAAAGGGTTGCAAAAAGATGCGGTATCGTGTATCGACAAAGTGAAAACAATCTGATCCGTGTCCTGGTGATCACGTAGGCAGTCTCTTCGCGTCCTACTTGTGAGATTTCGAGGTTCGAGCCTCAATTGGGCCAATGAATTCGCACCGCTGATGAGACCTACCAAAGTCAAATCACCTGTATGAAATCTGAATTTTCGGCTCATGTTCTCTGTTTGTTGTAAATGACAAAATTCATAATACTACAGAAAGTCCAAAGTTTCCTGGAGTCCACTTCTCGGAGAGTATATTGCCGCCCAACTTCAAAAGCGCTCACACAGATACTAACGATCGAATACAGCCATGAATACAAATTCGCAAAATACCATCATTTGAATTTTGCCCTAGTTCTGGGCATCGCGTACCGAAACCATAAAAATTAATGGCATTTAGGGCCACCTCATTTGCGACGATTTATCACTTACTCAGTACACGTTTGGCGACTAATGTGAGAATAACTAGCAGACAAAGAATGACTGAATGACTGGTATCGGGGGAAACTGTTTCCAGTCAAACACATGTGCGAGGTTGGCTGAAGGAGACCGAGGTTGCAAAAAAAATCAGAGATACCCAGATTATGATCTGATATAAAAAGGGTGAAAAGACTTAACGGAGAATTTGACCACGTAGGTCCTGTTAAGCTTCCCGATTAGGGTCTACGGGATCATTGGATGATAGTGGTTGAGTGTGGTAAACGAAGGTGTTCATGCATCTTATACCGATTTCAAGTCTTCGTACTGACAACGCGCTCAGTAGTTCGTTCAGTCTCGTGGTGGAAGATAGTAACCGAAATAATTAAACGGAGACAGAATGAATTACTGTAACGCACTTTTCAGATATGGGGTATCGGGCCAAAAGCGATGCATTCAAGTTGATTTAGACTTGGACCAAAAAACCATTCTCATCTTTCCACCCGTGCCATATGGCCAAAACCAGAGCAGTAACGATTCGCGTTTATCCGCTTCATTCTCAAAAGCAATCCACGTAGTAACTTCGTTTTATCTTGCCACAACCGCCTTGTAATGTACACCGTACATGGAGCAGCTTACCTATTATTTTTCTTTCAAGTTTTCAGTGGACTAGTCGGTTTGTGCTGTTTTATAGCTTAGAGAGATCGCTTGTCAACTGAAAACGCGCCACATGCATAAACATTGCAGTTGATTTTTTGCGATCGTTTTCCTTTCAATGGAGCAACACTCACTTATCCACAGTTTAGAGTCTGAATGATCGCTCTCGCATTCGTGCCCGTTTCGTTTAATTGGCGCTGAGCATTTCGTGTTTACATTATTTGCATTTTAATAAGTGTTCCAAGTTACTCGACAAATTTAGAGAGAGAGTGGATGGATTAATTAGCATTTTACTGGCTATATGTGGACGAAAAAGTACACTTTGATAAATGAAATGTGGGAAAATAAAAAGACCACAACGAAAACATGTGACAAGCATTTACAGATGCGGTGAGCGTGTAATTGAATGATAACTGTACTAACTTTTGCCAAATGCTGAATAGCGGTACCAGTCTCTTCATAAGACTCCAAGAGTAAAGCAGTTCCGGACTGAATCGCTGATTGTTCGCGCTCGGTTAAATTACTCTGTTTAGGATAGGGGGGGGAGGCGAAAAATGAGAAAAGGCTGTGACCGAACGAGAGGTAACGGGTATGTTTACAATGAAATGCGTTGTGGCGATATGAGGACATTAAGAGATCTAAATAGCACCAGTTAACACAGAACACAGATTGTTTTTGCCGGAGACTATAATTGAAATACGAAGAGGAGTTAACCTCATAAAAAAAGAAGAACAAATGATAACAGCAATCATGACGTGGGCACGCTATTCCTCCTTCGATCGGATATCCTGAGTGTGACACGTCACGAGGGTTTCGGATGTCAGAAAGTTGGCATAAATGGGACGAGCAAAGTGGAATCAGCAATTTGATGGTAGGCAGCTCTGCTGTCGTCCGGTTCAATATCACTCCTAA